ATAATTAATTAATTAAACACTTACAAGGTTCCGTTACTATAAGACTTAGCCGAGGTGTATCCCAGCTGTCTACAGACAAGGTGGGCAGCATCAGGAGTGAAGTACCGGCCACAGACTGTCCCCCACTGGCCGCTACAATAGACCTGTACCAGACCCTGTGTGAGGAATAATACCAGAACACTCATCAATTTTATCAGACCCCCCTCATGTGTATTACGTTTGATGAAGTGGTCCCATACAATAATCTCAATTGACCGTCATAAGGAGGATTATTAGTGGTGTCTGAAATAAAACAAATATTAATTAATTAACTATTAATTAATAATTAATTAACTCACTGCAGTATAAAGTGACAAAGTTCTGTTGGCAGGTGTGAAAACCTTTCTTATAAGAACACCTCAACAAATGGAGGTACTCACTGTTACCATAGCAATTGACCTCCGATATAGAAACAGAACCAACATCACTACCATAACTGAAGAAATAAATCATCATTATTATTATTATTATTATTATTATTATTATTATTATTATTAATGAATTATAACCACCTGTTGATGGTATCATTGTTCAATGATGAGGAGTACTACCCCAGCTGATGACAGGCCACATTCCTCTCAGTTATATTGAAATTATCTCCACAGACCTCACCCCAACCAGTGGAGGCATAAATCTAAAGGAGAGACAACAATAGAGCCAGCCCCTCCCTCCCTAGTCTCGCCGCACAGACCATTCCCCAGTCTACAGTCCACCCCAATGACTGTTGGCTGGGGAATGGTCTGGCTAGCGAGACTATCCCTCCCTCCAGTAGGCTCTACCTGGAGTCTACCATATGAATAACTGAGCCTTGAGACACCGTCTCTGATTAGTCTGAGGTCCCCGGGAGACTGACCTATTGATGATAATAATAATACTAACTATTAGGAGGGCCAGTACCATCAATTAGTAATGAATAAGAAAGAAAAATGGAGAGAAACAAAAAAGATGACAAGGCAGCCATTTTGCATAGTCCAGATAATTTTGAAAGAATTTCAGGTCATGCCTATTATAGGACTAACTAGATTTAGTGAGTGGAACCTAATTCAAATGGCTGCTTATTAAAGGTAGTTTCCTGTTAAAGGTACAGTCAAGGAAAGCGTCCTCAGGAACTACTACGTCATGCTGACACTCATAATATAATAGAGTGATCGTGAGCCAGTTAGTGATGGGCGATATATCGATTCTTTATCGATATAAACGATATTTTACGGAATCGATTTGAATCATTATCGAAAATTTTATGCAATTTTCATCGATCTATTGACCACGCCTATTTATTAAGGTTAAATAACTAATTTTAATATGTAATTGCACTGTTGAACTGCAAGAAAGAGGCAACGGGCCAGTTGTTAACTCAGCCTACCCCAATAAGAAGAGAAACAAGGCTCAAGAGCATGGAAATGATCTTCTCTCATGTCCAGTACAGTGCCAAAATCATTAGCCACACCCTTGACACACCCCTAAATGAAGGTGTGGTTATCTTATCGTTAATAATCGATATTTCCTCAAAAAGTCCATTATTGATCGTTATCGAAAATTAAGAAAATTGGCCATATCGCCCATCACTAGAGCCAGTACCAATATAATAAAATAGAGAAATACATTAAAAACTATACTGTGACCATTCTATGAGATAAAATAATAATAATATTAATGGTGGTAGCATAAACATGTGATAAAACAGTGTACATGTACTTATAGATGAGTTCAGTCTGTGACTGGAGGTATCAGAGGCAATGGAGAGACTTCATCAGCTGCTGGAGGATCCTCTTTCCTTTCATCCTCCTCTCCATTAGGAGGACCAGTACTGGCAGGAGCTGGAACAAACTGGGGAACAACATTCACTGGAACCATCTGGAAAGAATTAAAAAATAAAGTTATACTGTGCAAAAATTTGAGCTGATTCCAATCAAAATTGGATATTTTACTGTACATTTTAAAAGTGACGTACCCCCATTGGTCCTTGTGCTGTGCCAGCCTGAGGTACAAACCCAACCTGCTGTCCCTGAGTAGCATAAGAGACTGCCTCTGGTCTCCTCTGCTGGGACTCCTTCTTGAGTCCCTTCATATGACAGACAACAACCACTGATATTATTAGTATTATTATTGATACAGTAATGAAAAATATGAAACCCATGACTATGGCCAAAATAGCACCTGAATTTAGTTCAATATCTAAAAATAAACAAACAAACAAATAAATGAATAAATAAATAAATAACTCACTATTTGTTGGGCTTGGTGTTACATTTATTCTACATCTGGTGCTAGAACCAACACTAACCACAGAATTAACATCAAATGCTAAAAACAAGAAAAATAAATAAATAAATGAATGAATAACTCACTGCAGTTGATAGCTATGTCATTATAATGATTTTCATAATAATAAGTATAGTCAGGATAAGGTGTAGTTTGTCCAAGACAACTTGAGAAGCAGCTAGCATAAGAATTACAATAATAGTAACGAGAAAAACGTGTTGCAGATGAATATGAGCGATAGTTTGAAGATGAAGATATGCTGTACCAGACAGTCCCAGTCCCTGGTCTATGAGAAAGGATAATCATTATACAATACACAGTGTCCATAAATACTCTGTACTATAGTGCATGCTCTTAACCAAAAAGTGACTCCAAAAATCACCCCCCGATTTCATACTCACATTGTTCCAATATTGACAGCAGCTGCCCCAGTGTACCCCAGCTGCCTACAAGCAGTATCACCAACAATCTTATAATCCTCATAATAGGAGTAGGCACCGACAGTGCCCCATGATCCCCTGATGTATATCTCCAGTCTACCCTCCGATGGATACTGCCCATCGACCAGTCTCACCTGACCAGTGTAATAGTTAGCGGTGGAGTACGCTGGTGGGGCATTAAATAGAACAGGTGAGCATTAAATAGAGTATACTATACTTACAGCAATTAACTGAGAGTGATTGTGTACAATAAGTTACTTCTCTTGGACACCATAAGATATGAGGTTGTCCTGATCTACAGCGAGGACTGTACTGTCTACTGTAGCCAGTGGAACTACAAGAAATAACATTAGCCTAATGTACATGTACATGTATAGATGTGTCCTTACACTAGTGTGTAATTGTTAAGCTGATCATATCCCAGCTGCTGCAGAG